TGTTCTGACTCAGCTGTTCTGACTCAGCTGTTCTGACTCAGCTGTTCGCATCTCATCACACCCGTGCAGCGTTGTATCTTTTCGTCTCGTGTTTTTGTTTCTCTAGGGGCATTCAGCAATGACAAACTGTTCTAACTTCCAATTTACGAGAGGTGTGCTACACAGAACGGCGGTGGCTCAAGGGCCAGCAGGTGTAGGGATCTCAGCCTGGCCCTGGATGGCATTTTTAGGGTGTGAAGCATCTACTGTGGCGGGTGTGAGGACGTGCGTGGCCGAGCAGACTCGGAAGTGAGCGATTGTCCAGGCGCTGGACACTTTGAAACTGGTTTAAAAGTTGCATTGTGTGGGGAGAGGATGGGCTTTGAGACAGTGTTTTTGTGTGGTTTCTGTGCAAAAGAAGAGCTAATTTGGTCTTTTCCCAATGAGGGGGCATGCACCAGCACTGCTGTGTAAGGCTGCTGGGGCATCACGCTGAGTGATGGTGTCATGTTTGGGGAGAGGACATTCTTGGCAGCCAGACATCGAGGTTTTTGGGGACTGGAGTGAGATGTAAAATGGTGGCAGAGAACCTCGCTGCAGAAAACAAGGCCACCAGGTAATCAAAAAAGCAGGTTTAGTGTTTGCTGGTCAAACACTCACAGGTATTTTGCAAGCCTGGCAACTTATGAGAAGTCAGTGAATCGGGGCTCCTGTGCTGGCACATCTCATCCTATATTCCATGCCATTTCAAGTACAGTTAAATGCAGTGTATTGTTTTATACAGCAGTGCTGGTTGTTTTATCTGTAGTAGTTATATAGTGATAAGATTAATCTTATTTCTGCTAGGAATGGTTGCATCCATAGGAAACATGTTCACTTTCCCTTTGTGAAGCTCCTTGTGGTGTGTGCAGTTCTGAGACTTCAAAGTTATGGCAAAAATTGGGGTAGATTAATTTTTCCTGTCCAATTTGTGAAGCCAACAGATCCCCACTGCCAGTGTAAATGCTGTACCCGGGAGCATTGGATATCCAGGATGGTAGGTTTTGCAAAACTCATAGGTGTTGTAATTATGTTATTTTTGTATTTTGATAATTATGTCTTGACCTGCATCCAAATGCGTTTCAAAGTCAGGAGAAGGGCCTACCATGACCTGCTCTTTTAAGGCAGAAGAGTATTCTCTGCTTTATATTGGAAATGAGTTTTTAGAGTTGGTCTAAACACAAATCTGGTGGTGTTTTGGTGTATACACATAACTTCACTAGTCATGAGAAGACAATGTCAACGGTAGTTCTTCCATTCTTGTAAATGCAGAGTCCTTCTATGCAATAACTGCATGATAATATTATGTAACAAAGGAGGAAATATTTCCCTCTATTTGGCAGATGTCTCATAGCTGCTCTTATGCTCTATGTTTGGTTTAATCCAGACAGATAAAAGAGCTATCTCTTCAAGCTATTTCAAAACACAGACCAAAAACATTTATATGATTAAGCACTTCTTTAATTCTGTAAACACCATGAAATCAGCAAGGAAATGACATTTAAATGGCATTTATCACTCAGTTTGTCTCACCATTGGGGATTATTTCTCTGTAAAATCTGAATTTGGAAAGAGACCTTTTGCAAAACATGAAATTGGAGCTACTTTGCATTGTCTCCAAAAGTACTGCACAGGAAACCTACCTTTGGGGTGGATAGAGAGAAGTGACTCTTTGTGTTGTCTTTTTTATGTAGTATCGTCCTCCAAGATGTACAGTATTCACTTTAGATAGGAAAACTGTATTTTTTTTCTTACTAGGTAAATTGATGTTAAAAACAGCTGGAACATATCTTAGAAAAGCTGCTGGTTGGAAGCGTTTGAGATATTGGCAGTGAGATAAAGCTTCCCTGTTTCTGCCCACTGTGAATAATTGAGATATACATGGTCTGGTTCAAGCCCATCCAATGAATCTGGGACCATCACGGGCCAAATGGCAGCCACAGGGCTATTAATTGGATTGGAAAGAGATGCAATCAGGTTCATGGGGACTGCAAGAGCACATAAAACACCTTGTAGGATCCCACCTCTGTGATAATCATGGATGGAAAGTGATGGAAAGAAACGTGAGGGCTCTTAGAGTAAAGCCCAGGGGGTTATTGTGAGCACATAAAAATCCAAACAGCTTGGGATGTATCTACCTGATGGAAAAGGGACAAGGGGAGGGTTATTATTCCAACAGAAATATCCTAAAATGCTTAATTCAAGTAACAATTGTGTATTTTTATCTTCAGCCAACTGGTTTGGATTTTTAGAAACCGATGTTAATTTAAGTCTGTATCTGTTTATTTTTATATTTGTTGTACAAAAGAGAAATTGTGACTTTACTACACAAATATTATTCGAGGTCCTGGGTGCTATTCATTAAAACATACCTCCACCAGAATTAGGTGTGATCAGGTCCTCCGAGGCAGTCATGATATATCAGTTACTTGCAATCACGTGTGCTAGCTATTCATAAACAGGTGGGACAGTACCAGTTTGTAGCCAGATATTTACTGATTTTATTTCTGATACCAAAACATTTCTCAGCCTAATATATTTCAGTGCAGCTTAAAGATGCATCACGTCTTTATCTCACCAGATTCCTCCTCAGCCCCCAGCTCGGCAGGTTTGTGGGCACGTGCCAACTTGAAGCACCCAGGTTGGATCTTGAAGCAAAGCTGAGGCTGCCTGGTTGTACTTTGCCAATACCTTGATTTTTTGAAGCCAAGATGTTGTTGCAGAAGATCTGGCTCAGCCAAACCTCCAGAAAACACAAAACCAGGGCAAAAGCTGAAGCCACGGCTGGTGAGCTGGGGGGCCTGTTGGCTCCATTAATTTCTCCATTTTAAGACACTCAGCCAACAGCTGATTGAGGAGGCTCCAGTTGGTCAGTTGTGCAGTCTAAATATTTAGGGCCAGTTCATAGAGTTGCTTTTTTTTTTCTATGAAAAATGATGTATTTTACTTCCTATGTATAAAAGTTACTTGTAAATTTTCGAGTGCCTTTGCATGTTTTCCAAGGGGCTATGTGGTTGTTTATAAACTAGATTTTTTTTTTTCTAAATACAGAATTGTAAAATATCTTTTTTCCCCCCCCTTCCATTTTATTTTGATTTCTGAATTATTTGTGAAATAAAACCTTCCCAGAATGAATGCTTCCCTTGTCTTTAATGCTCAGCCAGAGCTGGGTTTGTGTTTAGAAGAGCTATTTGGGATTACTTCTGGGGACTAGAGTATTCCTTGGAGACCCCAAATGAGATTGGGTTGTGCAGAGTCTGTTCCACAAACAAATAAATTAAACTGCCCAATGCCCAAGCATTAAAATCAGCCTTTACCCCATTAAAAATAAGATGTATCCTTTAGTGAACCACCCTTAGAGTAAGGGAAAATCACTGTCTTTAAATCCCTGCAACATAGGGGCTGAAGTAGATTAAAAAATCCACTAGTTGGAATAAGCGTTTAATGAATTAATTAATACAACTGAGGTGAAGTCGTCCCCACCTGACCAGGCTGTTGTTAAATATACCCTTTCTTTTTTTTTTTTTTAAAGGAAAAGTAGAGAGATTTTTTTAATTTCCCTTGAAGTTTTCTCCAAGCTCCTACTCACCAACAGCACCACAAATCCAACCAAGTTGTTCCCTGGTAATTCAACACCACCTTGGTCAAAGGAGGTTCATAACTCAGCCTCCAGGCAACAAGCACCACTTGGGTTTGGACCAAAAATGTGGGCTGAGCCATGGGAGGGGGTCCTGGCTGACAAGAAGGCCATGGAATTTTCTGTTTTCCATTACATATACCACAAGATCAACATAAAACTCAGAGGTGTTTGCATTACTCCAAGTCTTGCCTGATGCAGTTATGGCTGAACAGTGTTTACCTGTAAAATCCAACCAAGCACTGACAAGATAACACCATTATTGCACTGCCAGTGATTCCTGTAGGAGGAAACTGTCATGGCTGGTGCACTCCCTGCAATTCCAAACTGTGCATTTGAACTTGTTGATGCCCAGTTTGTCCTTGCTCTCACTCACTCTCCCTTCTGCAAAAATATTTCCTTTGCTGAAAATGTTTGGGAAGACTTTCATGAGCAGAACTTAAAAGTAAGTAGAAAAGAGAATTCAGGCTAATGGTCATTGTGAGGTTTCTTAGACCTATTAATTGCAACAGTTGTTTGATTTTCTATTTGTTGGTGCCACCAAACAACGTAACCTTGGGGTTGGAACTAGTTGATTTTAAGGTCTCTTCCAACAAAAACCATCCTCTGATTCCATGAATACTGTGGCAAAAATTAGGTCTTGATTGGCCTAGAGATCAAAGCAGCATAACACCCCAAATTTAAGGCTGAAGCTAAGCCATCCCCTTGGGTTAGCTTCAAGTCCTTTGACACTGTCTCTGGTTTTGCTAATGGTTGTCTCCTCCTGCTCCAGCCATGTGCTTTATCCTGTGCTCATCCACCAGAGAATGGTGTTGTCACGAGTGTTGTGTGAGAGGAACGTGGCAGCCAAAGCTGGGTGTTCTTTCTGTACAGCAGGGATGAAACCCAGGTAAGTGAAGGATGAGAGCAAAACACAAAGAAGCAGGAGGAAAATGAATTTTTTTTTTCCCTGCTGGGGGTGGGATTGAGATTCGTGCTTTAGTGGAGAGGGCATAAAAACTGGAAGTTTGAATGAAAGTAGAGGGGAAGGGAAAGAGAAAACTACGTGGACTTCAGTGGAGGTGACCTGTTTTCCCACATTGATAATCCTCTGGGATCACGGAGAAGCCGGGCTCTCCCAGCTTGCTGTTTCAGGGAGAAATGTCTTGTTACTGGTTGTTTTGCCTTCTGCTGCCTGCTCCTCACCCTGTGCTGAGCTCATCAGAGGCTATGTATAGCATGGGCATACCTTGGGGTGGGTGTCCTTCCAAAAACCCACAGTCATTTATAGGATGTGCCTGGGTGATGTTTTCAAAGCCATTTTGCAAACGACGGGGTTGGCTCTCATTTATACTAAGGACCTACTTTAGGGCACTTAGGAGGCATTTATGCCACTTTAGGGTGTGGACAGAGCAGTGTAAAGAAGCCTCAGTGTAAATAGAAACCACCCTTATATCTTGTTGACTCTGGTTAAAATAGGGTTACCGAGTTAAGTCAACAGACAAGGTTTGCCTTGTGCAGCTCCCTCTGCTCCTCACCCTCTGAGCCATGTGAGGAGGACAGGGTTATCCACAGTGTCCCTCATCAGCCACTGCACAGCCCAGCACCTCGCAGGGATCCTGAGTGTCAAATCGAATACAAGGATATTTATAGCGGGTGAAGAGTCAGGAGGCTCAGGTGGAATGTGAGGACTGAGAGCAGAAGGGAGCACAGGCTTTCAAAACAAATTCACAGCTTTAGAATGTCTTACAAGTGCTACTTCCCTCAGGTTTGGGACTCCTCTAGTTTAGAGTCTATGGGTGATCATGACCCCAGGAGAGGACCTGCCAACACATGCACTGTCCTGAGAAGTGCTTGGCACTGATATTCTCAGGTTTTTATTTCAGTAGCTGCTTCAAGGCTTGTTTCTGCACATCTATCTTTTGCACTTGTGGAAGCTAAGAAAATACCAGAGGGGCCAGAGGACAAGTTTGTCAGAAACAAATATCAGAAGCAGCCTAATTTCCTTCTCCACCAGCTTAACAGGCTTTGTAAATTGGGGAAAAAATAATAAAACCCAATACAGATTGACTGTAAGAAGGTTTTTATACCGTCTCTTTGGACATGCTTTAATCAAAACATGGTTTATATGAATGCAGGGGCTCCAAAACTGCATCAGTGCCTGTGCTGGAAGAAACAATTTGCAAAAATAAGCTGGTACTTGGAAGGGAAGAATATGAGGAATAATAAAAGATGTAGACCAATCAGAAAGGAGTAACTCAGCCCAACTGAGATAAAAAAGAGTCAAAAGCACCATGCTGTGGGCAAGGAGATAAATGTCATATGAGATGTGCAAAGAGGGACAGGGTCTAAAGGCAGGTGAGAAGTATTTCAGCTTTGCTTTGTGCTGCTCAGGTCTCAGGTGCAGTGTGGTGCTGTCTGAGTTTGTACATCACTGCCTGAAAAGTACTCAACCAGCTGTGGGAAGTCCAGGAGGAAGCAAAGAGAGACCTGAGAGCTCAAACAACCCTCAAGAAAAGAGGAAAGATCGCTGAGGATGACAAAGGTGAGGAAGAGGATGCTTGAAGTGTGTAAAGGTACAGTAAGGGGAGAGAGGTATTTGTTCTTCCTGCCCAAAGGCTCACCATTGAAAAGGGATGGGCTTAAAATGTAGTAGGAAACACTGAGACTGGCCATTAGTAAAGGCTCTGACTGGAACAGATTATCTGTATGGTCTTTTCAGGCCACCATTCAAGGTTTTTAAGGATATACTGGATGGCAGCAGCTAAAATTTGATCCTGCTTTGGGTGGAGGATGGGCTAGAAAATGACTTGATGGCCTTCCCAGTCATTATTTCTGTAATTTTTAAGGCTAAAGGAAACATGACATTATATGGGAAGGGTTATCATCTACTTGGACCAGACATGGCCTGGCACTGTCCCATGAGTGATACAGAGATGACCTTGTAGAAGTGGCCCAGGTAAAGATGTGCAGAATTGTGCCAGTATGGATTGAGATGATAAAAACTAGTTACTGCCCTCTGAACTCTTTGTTGTTCAGGTTTCTGGGGTTTGTTTGGTTCCTTTTCCCCCGTAGGTCTTTTGGCAGACAAATGAGTCCTGTGGGGGATCCTGAGATGTGTTTGCAGAGGGACTTGTGGACCTTCTGCCGTGTCTGAGGTAAAATACTGGGGAAAATCCTACAAAAATGCTGCTCTGAAATGCTGACAAGGGGTGATTTAGGGCACCCCTGTAGGGATGTCACTGAGCAGAGTAACCCAAACTGAGTGCTGGCTGCTGGGGAGCAGCACGTTCTGCTGAAATGCAGAGGAGGCATTTCAGTGCCAGGCATGTAGCACCATCTGAGGACAGGTTTTTGGTGGGAAGATGGAGACCATGGAAATTTTCTCATCTGCAGAGTCATGAAACAATCTCAGGCGTCTGAGGGCAGCTGGCCAGCTCAGCAGGCTGTGTGAGCCTTTCCAAACACACGAGTGAAGTCGAGCTGCCCTAAACCCTTACAGCAAACCAGATGCACGGAGCTGAGTAGCCTAGTGCTGGACAATGCTTTCCTTGGGAACAGCTCCATTATCAGAGAACAATGATGTCTGTAACTCCAAAGCACTAAAACGGACTTTGTTTGGACACCGACCATTTTAACAAGAGCAATAAAGTTATGAAAACACCCAGGTTTTCATGAGCTCCAAAATCTCTAGTCTAGACCAAGAAAAGGACTTTAAAAGCCAACTCTGCTTGATCTTGTGGACAGCTCTGGATGCGGTTCCAGAAAATACTTGTGATCCAATTTTAAGGAGAGTTACTGGAAAAATGGTCAAGCACTGGGCCCTTGGCTTTGTGCATGGGATGACACAACGGGGGGCTCAGTGTGGAGGGGGTCCCTGCCCCCCCCAACTGTCCCTCACTGACGCAAGAGAAAGTTGTGTGAGGTCTCTACTCTTCTCTTATATAATCCGTGACTTCAGATAAAATTAATGCCAAGTACCCAAAAAAGGGATTGTGTGTGTTCTCTTCCCGTAATCTGAACACAGCGTTCGACTGTGACAGTTTTGCCAGTAAAAGAGACGTTTTTCCTTTGCCATGAGATCCAGATTTAAAATTAGCTGTGTCTCAGCAGAGCCATCAGCAGCGATCCCTGAGAACCTCAGTGCTCGGCGTTGGAGGTTCAGGGCCATAAAGGAGCCCAGCAGCCCAGGTTAAACAGTGACCAGCAAAGTTTGTTCAGGGAGGGCTCCGTGGCTGTTAACAACAGGAGCCTCCGTTAGCTCCTGCATCGAGAAAACCAGTCAAACTTTATAAAAATACTTCCTAAAGTAAATATTGGTGAGTCACAGATACTAAATATTAATAAATCATACACTGGGAACAGAAATATTAGCAGGATCTGTAAGGGAGGTCTTTTTTATGTGCAATATTACAGAATTGGGTATGTGTTCCTCTCTCTCTCTCTCTCTCTCTCTCTCTTATTTTTTTTTTTTTGGCCTTGTGTGTGCCAGCCTTTCCCATCTAAGACACAGGTTTGGAGCTGCTCTGAGGTCTTGGGTCAGTGCAGTTGGTTGGTGTCCAAGTCCCACGAGGGGAGCAACTGGCCTGGAAGGGACCCAAGCAGGGAGGGTGTTGAGCAGTGCTCCTCATCCAAGGGTCAGCATTAGTGGGGCACTTCTGGGGAACTGGAGGGTTTCACTCCGTAATTGCAAATTACAGATAAATGAGTTTTTTTTTTTTTCACTTCCAGTCTGACCTTTTGGGGGGAAAAAAAATCAACCCCAAACCTACCACGTTTATGCAAAGTATATTCAACCACCCAAACCCCCAAAGCACTTTTGTCGCATTAAGGAGCAAAGCAGAGTGAAAGCCACCCCTTGTTTTTCTAGTGAGGCAGCTTTAAGTAAAAAGTGGCTTTGTTGATCAAAATGTAAAAAAAATTAAAAAAAAAATGCTGAGTTTTAAAAAGTGAAATTGCAGTTATTTCAGTAATTTCTTTTCTTGTTTGAAAGCCTGGCTTCTTAAAAGTTTGTTGGCGCTGAAAAGCAGTAATGAAAAATTTTAATTGATTTTTTTGTTTGTTTTTTTTTTTTTTTTTTTTTTTTTTAGTTTCCCATGGTGTATCACTGGCATTTGCTGGCTCATGTGGAGACTGAGATGCTGTCTGGGCGAAGAGAGGAGCAATTTTTTATGTTGAAATTGAAATGGAGTGTCAACTGAAGAAAACTAAGAGGTTCCAGGCAGAACTGCAGCCCAGAACTGCAGGAGAAAGGCTTTTATTGAGGAATGGAGCAAAATAGGGAATGAAGAGCAAGGGGCATGGCAAGGACTCAAACTGGAGTCTAATACTTTATTTTTGTCAAAGCTGGGGGTAGTTTTGCCTTTCACTTTGAACAAAAGCCAGTCCCCAAAATCCAGAGGGGTGAGTGGAAGTCAGGATGTGAGGGGACCCTGATGCTTTGAACCCCCATAAACATTTTCCCCTATTCCTCCCCCCCAAAAAAGTGTTTTATTCTGCCTGTATGAGAGACTCAGTTACATCACCAGTCCCTGATTTCAAGGCTCTGTGTCCTGGCTCTGCAGCCCCTCCTGCCAAGGCTGGTCCAGTGCAGCAGTGGGGAGCCTGCTGCCACTTAGGTGGTCCCAAATTGCTTCTTGCTTCTTGTTCCTCAGCTTCTTTGCCAAGTTTGGAGGGACTCTGCGAGGGCTTTTAGCTCTGAGCAGTGGGTTCATTAATTAACACAGATATTGCCTTCAAGGTCTGCACCTCTGGGCTGCAGCTTTTGGGTTCCGTGTGACAGTGCAGGTGGAGGTTTCTCTCTGGGAATGGGGAATGGATGTTCCTCGTCTCATTGTGCTTTTTGACCATGGAATTGATCCAATGCAAAGAGAGAAGGGACACTTGGTTCTAGGGAAAATACTTCCTGCTGAGCTGAGAGCTGTATTGGCACGGAGATGATGGCAAGTACACATGGAGCCAGTTTTCTCTTTCCTCATAGCCTGAGGCTCTCAGGGGTGTGGGACATAAGTCCATGCCTTTCAAACATGCTCCAGACAGTGTCTCATGTGATGCTGACATTGCCCAAAATTGCTGAGGACACGTTTCTCCCTTCCCCTGCAAGCACATGGAAGAGTATCACTATCAGCTCTTCCTTCTTCCAGGGAAACCATCTTCTGTGAGATATCAGATCTTGATAATCTTCCAGCTAAATGCATGTCAGGGAGACAAGAAAAGTATTAGAAGAGGAAGCAAAAATGATTCATTGACTCATTTTTAATGAGTGTACTGAAAATTACTGTAGATTTCAACATCTGTTTTGACTGGGACAGGAAGGCAGCATTGCAAAGGGTGCAAAGATACAGATCCCCTTTCAAAAAGAAAGGCTCCACAACCCCTGTCAGAGTCTCATTTGTGGAACCATAAAATGTGTCTGCTGGGGATTTGCATGTGAAACATAGTTGTGTATAAAAGAAAGGCTCTTAGGAAGGCAGGAAAATGCAGATTTTTCTGGAGTGGTGGCATCTTGGTGAGCATGTCTTTACAGGACAAATGATGTCCACCAGGGGAGAAACAGGAAAGGAGATGGCATCTAACCATGCCTCTGCCTGTCCATGGCTGTGCTACTCCTGCTGGCATTAGAGAAAAAGGTTGTAGGTGTTCACAGGGTTTTGGGAAGGGGATGTAACACTGGCTCACCAATTTTCTAATTAAAGGTCATGATGGTCCTCATGATTTGTTGGAGGATATTTCATGGCAAGAAAATGAGGCAATCAGGTGGCACAGGAAGCCCAAAGATGTGAATCACAGCTAAGTCCTGCTCTGCAAACTGCACTGCTGATTCACGGATCCGTGAGGCACCGCTTGGTAACAGCCAATTACTAAATTGAAACTATCCTGGTGCTCACTTCCTCGCTCGTTTTACTGAGATCTGCTTCAGGCCCCTTGTTAAAATAGCTGCAGAGTGTTGGTGGGCTGATGTGGAGCAATGTGTGGGCGGTGTGTCATTTGGAATTTGGATGGAGTGTCTTGCACAGACCCCTCCGGGCACTGCGGTACCTCTTGCTGGACGTAATCAGCCCTCGTTAAGCCCCGTTAGTCTGCTGGCAGTCAGCTGAGTCAGGGGGTGATGAGGTGGTGCCACACCTTATGCTGCAACCTCATCCCATCATCCCACCATCCCATGGTGCAATATGAACTTTTTGTGTCTTAACCTGTTTTATGGCAGGAGCAGGATTTACAGGGCAGGAAAGGTGTTTCCTATCCCAAATGCAGAATCAAGGTGCTGCGAGATGTGACCTGTGATGCACAGCAAAAGCAAGAAGGACATTTCCACATAAGTCTTGACTTCAGGGAACAGGATATGACTGTGATGGAGCTGGTGGTTGGTTGCATCCTCATAAATGTTCAGTTGCTCTTCTGCCTCACATCAGCTGAGAGTTTTCCACAAATTCATCGTTGTGACAGGAATTAGAGTTAGTGCTTTAGGGGCATGGGTATAATTTGCTTTGTATTGGATAGGTAATAATATGTTAAGAGGGAAAGAAACAAACTTTCTGTAAAGAGAGACCATGTTTTGATGAAATATGTATGAGAAAAGCAAGACAGCCTCAAGAGAACATGACAACTATTGTAGTTCTTGACTGTATCAGGAGGTCTTCACGATGTGCCATGGAAAATGGGCCAGGAAGTGAAATCAGGCACCAAGAAATGCCTGTCAGCAGGAGCCTGCATTGCTTTGGGTCACTCAGCTATGGATTCTGGACAGGAGGGCTAGGAAGAAGAAAAGTTGCTGTCTCCTTACTGATGAAGCCGATTATTCCCTTCCAGAAGTAGGGAAGGCAGATGTGAAACATCTTTCCAATAACGTCAAAGATGTTATTGCATTGTTTGTGGCCCTGTTTGGGTGATTCAGGATTTCCAGTGTTTGTGCCTCATCACAATAAAAGAAGGAGGTGCTCACATCCTTGTGCACCCAGAGGAACCAATCTGAACCCTGAGCTTTTAGGGCCGAAGAAATCAGATCCATGTGCTGAGAGACAGAAAAGGCAGCCACATTTTGAAGCTTAGTAGATTTTCCTTCATTGTGCTTTTACTCATGTTGGATCCCTGTACAAAGCCTGACTCATGGCTTTGGGAAGGAGAGCAGTTAAGTGTTGCCTGCTCAGAAAGCCAACTGCTTGCAGTTCCCCCAAACCACCATGCTGGACTCTCAAGTTCCTTGTCTGGATGATTTCCAACTAAAAATTCCCATTTGTATTAGTCATCAAAGAATACAAACAACAAACGGTTCCATATTGCACATTTCAGTCTACCAGTCTTGTACTGAGGCCCATTTGCCTCAATCTATTTTTGGAATGAACATAAGATTGCCTGGCATGTCCCCAAAAGAACTTGCTAACTCAGGATACCCTTTAGATCACAGAATGAGTAAACATAACTCTGTGCTGGCCTTTATGAATTATTTACCCTGAGAAAGCAACTGGAATTTTGTCCATGGACAGCAGAGCTTGCAGTATTTCTTTGTGCAGCCCAGAACAGAGATGCCCAGGTCATTTGGAGATCTTTGGTCCCCACTTTAGCAACGTTGGTCTAAGGCGGGACCGTTTTCCGATCAAACCTTTTTTGGTGGGAAAGTTGAACTTCCTGACATCTGAATTTTGTGGCATTTTAAGTTGGGAGTTGACTTTTTCTCTGGAAAAATGTAGTCCTCTCATGGGAAAGTGAGAGCATGGCCAATCTAAATAGTAAAGAAAGTCACATATTGCTTGAAACACTTCTGTGCTCGGGGAAGTGGGCAGTTACTCTGTGTTGCTCTTTTGCTTTACAGAAAACCCCTCCAACCTGCCCTGTAGGTGTGTCACCCTACATTACACGGTGCTGACATTACATGGTATAGATTTGGACAGCAGGAGAGACAGGTCTTGAATTATGCCCTGAACATTGAGGTATTTCTCATTTTAGAAGCATGTCCTTACAGACACAATTCCTCTGCCTTATGGCAAATCTTTTAATCTGTTTTGATGTCTTGGAGAATCTGTATAGCTGGTCCCAGGTAACTGGGAAATACAATTTGTAATCCTACTTCAACTTAGACAAAAGAATGAGAGTCTTGAGGAAAGTTTCATCCCAGAAATTTCTTTTTCCCTAATGAAATCAAACTGATATTCTGCATTGGGTTTGCAGCACTGGAGCACAAGGCTTAGACCTGTGTTCTTGCCTCTGAGTTATCCATGAGACTGAAACTGTAAATGACTTTTCCAGGGTGTGAATGGGACACTCAGTTTTTCACAGCAAACCTTCATCAGCAGTACCCAAGGGGATGCAAATTGGCACAACTTTGCTGCTACTGCACCTATTTCACGTCTTGGCTGCGGATGTTTGCAGCCTAAAAACCCCCACGCTCTTGATATTAACAGAGTGAGATGTGGAAAGCCAACCAAGCTCAACCCACCCCCAAATCCCTGACCAAGGTTCAGAGCAGGACTTGGTGGGGCTTGCAGGCCTCAGCCGTGAGTTGTGACATTGCTGACTGGGGTTTCCTGTTAGAGTTGGAAAAGCTGCCTGGATTGGGGCAGAGCTGCCCTCTCCCAGAGAATCACATGGGCCTGGAAACAGAAATAAACTTCAGATGGCATTTCTGCTTGCTCCTCTGAGCTCCATGGTGTATCAAGAGGTTGGTGTCAGCAAATGCATCACTTTCCACTTACTGCAGTGTTATTTCTAGACCCTTGCTTGGTTTACAAAGAACAGAAATCTGATCAAATGGTTGGATGAAGCACAGGATAAACCCAGCTGTTCTACAGATGTGAAATGGTAGAAAGCTTTCTGGTTCTGTCCCTTTTTAAAACCAACCAGCTCCATTTCTTCAGCCTGCAGCCTCTTGAGCACTGTCACAGCCTCTCCATCCCAGTGGAAAGAGCAAATATCCTCCCCACTCTTCCATGGTTGGAAACCCATCTGCAAGAGACTCGTCACACAAATATATTTTTCATAGTCTCAGGGCTCTCTGTGAGTAAAGTGATGTGAGTAAAGCAATTATGGTGATCATAATAGTTGTAAATAAAATGAGAAATAATGTTTAATAAGAACAATTTAACAGTGAACTTGACTTAGCTGTTATTAATGTTTGCTTAAACTGAATTTCTATGAAGAGGACGTCAAAAAACTTCAAGATTTTTCTATATGCATTTGTCCATTGGATGAACTCAATTCTTCCTTGGCATTCAGGTTTCTTCATTTTTCCTGATGTGCCCAACTAGAATTGCAGGTAAATGTCATGAGAGTCTCTCTTTTCAGCTGTTCTGATGGAAAATTGATACCTGTTTCATGTTTTCTGTGCATACAAAGCTGAAATACATTGGTGCCCTGCCATTGCCCTTTAACCTTTTTTCCTATTGCAAGGCTTCTGAGGAATACACTCTATTTTCTCCTCTGATCTGCTCTCTAAATGGTGATACACTGGAAGATATTAAACAACAAAACAGCAAAGAGGATATGTTTTATATTAGTTTGTTTATAAGAACACTCTTGACTAGTAAATAGCTACACCCTTTGTAAGTGTTTTCAATTTTCCCTTTGAAATACAAAACAAGTAATCCTTTCAACAAGCAGCTCTTCTTTGTCAAGGATTTTTCTCATTTTAGGGTACCCAAATAGTTTGAAAATCAAAATGTTTCCAGAAAACATGTTTGTGGCATACCTTTTTTCTTTCTAATATATTTTTTTTTAGTTTAGAACTATGTGAAATTCAAGCTGTGACTATAAAGACAGGACTGTTCATGATGCTGAATTCTTTGTGCTGAGTAGAATATCTTTTAGGGTGGGAACTGATGTGTGAGCTGTGAAAAGACACGGCAACCTTATAAAGTCACTTGCAGGAGGGACTTCACTTGATTTATTTTTTTTTAAATTCAGCAAAAAGCATCTTGTATAACAAATCAACAGCTTGAGCTGTGTAGGGAAGGATTGTACCTTCAGACACAAATCAGTGGCCTGGATTAAGATATTCTTGTGGTGATCATTTCTTGGAAATGAATGACCAGACCATGGCATTCCAGTGTCCCTGCTATGGTGTTCCCAGCAGCATGAAATGATCACAAAAATATCTTATTTGCCAGGTCATGCCTTTTCCTTGGAGAATTCCCGAGTGCAGGCCTGATACCTGGTCCCTTTTTCCAAGTGGGGCACAAACGTGGGATTCTTCTTGACTTCACTGTGAGAGAACTGGAAAAATGAACTCCCAAAGTGAGGTGGCCCAGACCCAACTTATTCTAGGTTGGCCTTACATCCTCGTGGAAGGCTTTTTGGTCTTGCTGTGGCCGGGGTGGTTTCCTCTAAATGTGCTGTATTCCCTGTATTGTTCTAGACTTCCAGGGAGGGTTTGTTATTGCAACCCAGTTTAAGGTCACCTTGAGAGTGGCTGGGCTTGGCACAGCTGATTTCTGGGCCCAGGACTTGGCTGCTGATCTTGAGTTTTTGACTGATTACACAGAAAAATTTATAGATTAAGTCTGAATAAACCCTTCAATTAAGGTCATGGTAAATAAGATTCTAAGGTTAAAGCACTTTATGGCAAGCAGGCTTCTAGGAACTAGTTGTATTAAGAGTAATGATTTGATTAGGGAATGAGGATCAGGAGTGGGGAGACAGGAACCTGACCTCAGCAGTAAAATGCACACAGTTGCTTTTTTCCTCCTTCTTGGAATCTGGTGTACAAAGGTACAATTAAACAACATTTCAGCAGGCCAACGCAAACCATTTGTGCTTTTCCTGACTTCAGGCATCTGCACAGAGTTTTGCTTTGCTTTAAAATTCTAGGCCAAATCTGCTTCCTTGCATGCAGCACGAAGAGGTTCCAAGGTGGGAGCTGGTGCTGGAACCCTCAGCTGGCTGGAGGTGATGGAGATGCCCCTGGAGGTGAACTGAGTTGAGCTGCAGGGCTGTCTGGCCTCTGAATAAGCTCAGAATAACTCAGAATAAGCTTTTGGACACCACCAACCAATAGGAGTTGAAGGCTATCTGCAAGCAGGATGTAGTTTGGAAGTGCAACCAGGACAGATAGTCTGGGTCACATTGCTGGACTTGGCTCAGACTGGAGCAGGAGGAGGGGAAGGGGGGAATACAGAAGCAGCCAAACACCCACACGACCCCAGTGCCAACCTTCAGTGCTTCTGCAGTATTTGATTTGTTGTTTCCTTAGAAAGCCAGGCTGAATTCCCAGCAGCAAATCATTTTCAACCTCCCTGTCTGAGTTAGAAAGGAAAGGCTTTATCCCAGGATTGAATACTTCCAATATCACTGGAAAGGCTGAGTGGTGTTTGAATTCTTCTTATTCTTCCTTCTTATCTTCCTGCAGGAGGAAGCCTGTCCTGGGAGCAGGGTTCATACACTGGGATCCCACTGCTGAGGTGTTAAGGAGATGTCCTCTGGTTTGCTTGTGAGGATGCAGCCGAGAGGGCTGGGAATGAGAGGGATAGACACAGGGAGGATGCATCCTCATGGACCACAGTTCTCTGTCTGGTAGCCATTAACCAAGTGTTGATGTTCTGCTCTACAGTACGAGTGTGATTGAATCAATTCATCTCGTGGGGCTGCAAGGTAAGATCTACTGAGGCAGCAAACATTTCCATTTACTTCACTCAACTTCTCCATCGAATTATTGAAGCCTTACTTTGAAGCCCAAGGTAACACAAGTTGAAGAGACTGACTTAGACAAAATTTAAACATGAGCTTTTTCACTGGCAAACACTGAGTAATAATTCCATTGGCCTCAGTAGAAACGTCCTGGTCTGAACGCAGCATTTTCCAGGTCCAAATCAGCTTGTGTTTGTGGAAGTTTTATGCCATTTTTTTGCAAAGTTTATTTTCTCAAATGAGAAAGAAACATCCAGAAATATCATGACTTCTACAGAAAACAAGCTGGAATAGGCCAAATAAAATGACAGTCTCCATTTGGCAGGGAGAAGAGTTGATGCAATTACCTGATTTTTATTAAGGAATGAGTAGAAAGGTATGAATTTGATACATTGCCTTTTTCTGTCCAGAAATATCATGGCATACAGAGCAGAAAAGATAAACAGCTAAATGCTTTAGCAAAAAATGACCTATGTCTAAGTCTGTAGTCAGATAATGCTCAATTATAAGACTGAAGAGATGAAATAATGGTCTAAAATAATTTTCCTTAATTTATTTTCCTTCTCTGCTCTACCAATTTCAACTTTCCTTCAAATCTCTCCCATTTACTGAATTTTTCTGTGGCAGAAATCTGGCCTGGTCTCTTGCAAACTAGAGCACAAGGGATCCTTTAAAAATATCCCAGACAGATAATTTTCTCTTTGTTGTTTTCTTGATGATATTAGAAAACACAAGGCGTTTGTGTGAAATCTCTGCTACTGTGACACATGGAAAGCAACCATGGCACCCTCCAGAAGAACCAGAGCTGATGTATAAATTCAGAAAGAGTAAAAGTAAGAAAAAATAAATTTGTTGAGACATTGAGGAAACCCTGTGTCTCTCTATATATGTCTGGAGTTTGGTTTTGTTTTCACCAGGGGGATCCGTGAAATCATATGTACCTTAAAGCACCCAGTGAGAATCAAGTGGTGTTTACTGAGCATCCGGGCTGCCTCTGCATCCCTGGAGAGAGACAGACACCCCTGGGGACCCCACAAACCTGCTGTTGATGGCTGAGAGACCAGAGAATGAGGTCAGCTCTTAACTGAGGTAAGGAAAATCTGTGTTATGTGAGGAACAAGGAGGCTAAACCAGTTTTAACTGGTGTTAAGGGCAGCCACCCCTGAGGTGATGTTGTTGGACTTGGCTGTGTGAGAAGCACCAAGGGAGATAGAGGGTTTGAAGGGATTCCCACAAGCCCCTCCAGGTCCTGTCATCCCATCTGAAAAGTGGGATTTGATATCTCTAGATGTCAGCATGGCTGCTCTCTCACTCTCCAAATCC